AGGCATCATCTGCTTGCAGTTTAGATACTAGAAAGATGCAGAAAAGATAAAGCTAAATCTACGGCTATCACAGCAGCGCAGTTTTTCTAACTTGTCGGTTGGTTATCGGCTTTTATCCTAATCCTGGTTGCTAGCATTTGTAAAGATCGGATATTTTCGAATCGCAGAACTACTTTCCGCAACTATTTTAATGGTCAATGAATATTTCCTCAAGTCTTTTACTTACCACGCAATTGTTTGAATGGTTAATGGATATTTATTTAAGTCTTTTACCTACCAAACTCCCGAAATATGACAGAAGTGTAATGTTGTGTTCAGAGCTGGATTAACAGTTAAGCAATATAAGCACGTGCTGAGGGCATCAAGGGAGAGGGAACTACATAAAAGGTGCCTAGAGACTCAACAAAAATGGTGCTGCACAAAAATTTCACATTACCGGTTTTACTATGGATTGTATGATACAGCTAAACCAAAACTTAAATAAGGAATGAAGAAAAATCAGGCATAAATGTATGACGGAGACTAAAATCTTTTAGGTGCTTAGGATCTTTAAACGTGTAATCCTGCCTTGGTTGTGTTTGGTACACACAAAAGTAAAATCTTACTAGCTTTATAAGTACGCTAATTCTCTCCTCAATCTTTCTTTCTCTGCTGTCATTAAAAGAAAAGCTAATTGATTGAGAGCGGAGGAAGACATGACAAGAAGCATTCTGATATTTTTTGATTAAACGTTTTAAGATTCTATCAGTATAGTGCCAACAGTCTTATTAAACTGGCATGACTCATTTTCACTTTTCTCATAACAGGCAAATTATAATGTCAGTTTACATACATTTTCAAAATGCAGTTATTTATGAGCGAGAAATGTGTATTTATGTGATATGAGCATCATTAGCGCCTTGGCAACGAAATTCTGAACTTTGTTTGGCCATTAGATCACTAAAAATTTCCTCTTTAATTATGACTACAAAGTATTTAGATTATTCAGCAAAGGTGGGTTTAGTTATTTTTTCCGCTTAAATGTTGATCTTAGAATTCCAGTTACAAAAGTCCTTTATATTATTTTACTCCCAGGTACAGTCCTTTATACTTCTAGTTACATAGTTTCTCAACATAAAGTGTATAATTTTATCAGAACAGTTACAGCATTGGGTAGTTGGGGAGTAAGTAAAAATAAATCTAACTTTATATTGGTTCTCTAGAAGACTAAAAATATAAATTAGCAAAATACTTATAATGCTTTCCTAAAATGAATGTAAAAAGCTACTGGTTACTGGGCTAGTCTTGAATGAATAAAAATAAACTTTTTTTTTATCCAAAGTGCATCCATTAATCACTATAACGAACAAAATTTCTTTCTTTTTTAAAATTCTACTCTAATTTTAGTTGAAAATATTTGAATTTATATCTGTGGGCTTGAAAAGTTTATCTGATAGTACTGTTATGGATTTTGTATTTAGCTTGCTATTTTTAGTAGAATTATAATTAAAATTGCTTTATTTCCCCCTGCAATGCAGCACGTGACGAATTTTAAGAGAAAGCTATGCCGGAAAAGTAAAAATACAAGACCACGTGCATTTAATAAATAGATATCTCGTAATTGTACTCTTTTGCTTTCCAAAAACCTTGAGAAAAGGGAAAGTACGAGAAGCTTCTCGTGACTGATTAAAAAGCTATAAAAAGCCGGAGAAAAAAATCTCAGTTCAATTGAGTTGTTTACTAAGTTTTTCTTCGCGGTGAGAATTCGCGGTGAAATCGGATTAGCTTTCTGTACGCTTTGGATTGAGTTCTATTTAACGTTTTAGTAGTTTAAAATATAACTACTGTGTGATATTGTACGAATATCTGTGAGGGGTAAAAATCAGCATTTTGTTTTATTTCTTTTGATAAGAATTAAGTTATCTAGACTTTTTATCAGACTTGTGCGTTCAATTTATTACGAACCCATACGCACGCAACAGTACATTTATTCTCAAATATCTCTTTGAATTTTGCATGCACAGGTTTGGAAACTTTTGTATTTAACCTAATAGAAACATAATGATTACTTCGATAACTTGTAAGTTTGTGCACAGGAAGCATGCAAAATGTCAGAGTTTATGTTTGGAAAATTATCTTACTGAAATTGTTGAAAGAGACTGTTAAAAGTCTTAACTTCGCTCTCAAAATTTTTGCAATTCAAATTGCATCTAGGCAATATTTCTCACTTACAGAATCGTTAGTTAACAGAAAAAACGTCTCTAATCAGCGTTTCCAAGCATTCTGCATGAGATTTAAATTTAAAATCAGTGAATTAAAAATGAAAAGCTTTCACTCGTCAAAAGAATAAGAAATCAGATGAAGTTGATCCTTAATGGCTCTTTCAAATAATTGACTTCCTTAATAGTTCCTTCGAAATATTCATGTCTTATTTGTTAAAATGAAAGAATTCTAGTTCATCTAAGATTAGCTAAAATATCATTTCAGAAAAATACCTCCAATCCAAGAAAATTATTATTTAAATATTGACAAAATTATATTTTCGGTGTAAGAGACGTGAAAATTAATACTGCATTCGCTTTAATTCAAAATACGGATCTTCCACTTTCTAGTCGATATGCGAATTACTTACACCATGAAAATACACATGAGCAACATGTGATAATTCTTTACATTTTTACCCTTTTCAAAAGCAAACGGGCAGAGACATGAGGCCTAGTTGACTAAATTCAGGTGATGATGATCTCTCATTCTTCACATTTTAGTTAATATGTTCCACTACAGTGGAGCATATGAACTATTAAGAGATTTACTTAGTTTTTCGAAGAGAGTAAATGTGAGAAAATCAGCTATTCTGTCACAAATTCGAATCACAGATCTTTCACTTGCTAGTTGGATGTGCTAACCACTTGTATCATAAGACCAAACACAATTGGGATGAGGTAATTTATATTCTGTCTCACTCAGATGTCGACTGGAGTGATATATCAGATCTAGTTGATTAAGTTATAGTTCAAGATATTTTAAGTCGACCAAACACTACAGAACTTTTTTAGGCTTTTTGTGAAGGAAACGTGAAAACCCAAATGTGCTCTCATCAATTTTGGAACTACAAATCTTTTACTTTTTAACTGATCATGCTAACCTCTTTTATCACTAAGACAGCATGCACAGCGAAATGACATATTTCCTCTGAAGATTAATACATTTATGAAACTTAATATTATTTTGTCATTTTCATTTTATTTATTTATTAATTTTTTTCTGTCACTTAACAACTTGCGTGATACATACACTAGAAAAGTAAAATATGATTCTTTGCCGTAAAAACATTTTAATAAATTTCCAAGTATAAAACAGCCTACAATGTTTTTGTAAAAAGTGTTTGAAAATTCTGGCATTTATGCTAGTTGTTAACAACAAAGGTGAGCATTATAGTTTCAAATTCAACACGGAATGTTTCAAAAGAAGACAACACGGAATGTCACTATTAAGAGATAAAGACAAAGACAGGAGTAATTAACATTATTTTCAGAGTTCGAAAACTTTAATTTTACTAACAGGCAGTGGCTAGACGCAGAGTTTCGTTGCGTGTTCTATTTCTTGTATAAAATAAGTTAGCGTGAGACTTGTCGTTGGCGCAATTTAGTTAAAAAACAAATGAAAATATATTCTCTCCTTAAGTGACTTCATTAAGGACTTGCTCCCAACTACGTTTAGATTTATTTTGTTTATGTATTTATTTATTTGCCACCTGCATGAAATATTAATTTCCGGTCTAACATATATTATATTAAACATTATATATGTTATATGATACATTATTGTTATTACACAGCTACTGTTACTGTAGGTGCTACAAGTTTACCGATTCTGGTGGCTAATTTTCCGATTTTGGCGACTGACTCGAAGTGGTTTCTTTGTAATGATTTTAAGTTTTACTAACGTTTATTTTATTTTGAAACTTTGCTATCCTCTCTTATTTTCCATTTCCGGGCATAATAAGCGCGATTTAATTTGTTTATGCAAATAAGGTTGTAAATTGAGAAAGAGAGAGAGAGAGAGACTTCTCCTCGCAGCCTTACCACGCGCGTGTTTTTCAGTCAATTTATGTCTGCCGTTAAGGCCAGAACTTAGTTCTCGCTGATATTTGAAGACGTATTGCAGTTTTTTGCATTCTGCTCACTTCATACGTAGTGTTAAAAGGCCAATCTTCGCACTACTACTCTCTGTAGAGCATCCAAGTTTAGTTCTTATTTAGTTAAGTTTGTTTATTTCTTATTTTCTACGTTTTAAACCATAAGTGCTGATCTCTGTATCCCGAAGTGCGGGAACGGCTGTGAGAAATAAAAGGTAAATTTAACCCTTCGTATTTGTACTGTATCTTCTATACGGGCACGAGCACAAGTTTTGAGTAAACTCCCTGTTTCTACTCAGGACTCCAGTTATGTTTCTCAAGGCAATTAGAAGGAACAGCAATCCTGGCAGCTTTAACTAGGAAGTAGTGTGCCAGATGAGCCGGCTGTGGCCAAAGCAAAATTTAGAATTTCTATGTACATCTGAAAATAAAATGTATAAAACATTTCAACAGGAAATGTTTCAGCTTTATTTTAATTAACAATTTTCGGCCACACAAATAAGGGCTATACCAATGACTCTGTGACTATAAAACTGCTACTATGTGCACTGTTGTCCAACTCTGAATCTTTGATCATCATGAGGAAAGAAAATTAATTACATACATCATCGGTTCCAAGTTAAAGTACTGATATTATTAATAAGACCAAAACCTCTCGCATGTATTACAACACCTCTGTTTGATGGGGGAACGCCATCTGCAATCTTGAAAACAACTGCAACTTCATTTTCTTTTGGAGCGTTGTAACGTCTTCTGTGCTCACCTGTAACAATACTTTCGTCCTTGATGTACGTCTGGATAGCAGTAGCAGTTTCAGCACCTTGCTCTGGTGAGTTCCTTCTAAAACTTATTTTTCAGCATCTTGTAAGCTTCTGCATATAGATTAACATTCCTTAAAACTGCATCCAAATTGTGCCAGCAGTTCAGTATTCAGAGCAACATTTCCAAGTATATTCATTCTCTGTCTGAGGGCTTGATCCGAATCTAAAATATACAGTTGGGAATACTGTTCATGAGCAGGATCAGGTGGATGGAAGTGATTTGCTGGATGACAAACGGTTCCATAAGTTCTAAAACAGTAGGGACCTGAACTTGTAGGCCTGACTCTGTACTGGCACCCAAGGAAGCAAAAATAAGAAGACAATTATAAATACTTATGTTAGCAAAAAGATCTTGAGAAAATTGGTGGTTTCCGTTCATTAAATTACGCCATTTTTCTGGATATCTTCTTTCAGCTTCTACAGTTTTCCCATTGTGATAGCAGTGCACGTAACTTCCGTCTTTCTTTCTTTCTCCTGAAAGGACAGTCCTCTGCAGAGATTGCAGCAGGGTTCCATTGAACCGACACTGTGTTGTGCAGCGTAAACTTTGAGTCTTTATATTCCTGCATTGTGAAGAGTGCTACGTGAATGTCGTACTGTGCACACGCAAAGCCTGTCTTCTCGTATAGCCGTTGTTTCTTCAGATCAGACTTGTCTATTATGTTGAGCGTCTTACTTTCGTTGTTTGTAAGATCCTTTTCTAACTCTTCCACTCGAATTTGGCAGTGATGCTGAGTCTTGTGGCCTTCATCTACTTGCACATTCTTCTGTCTCTTCATCACGCATCACGAATTCCACTTGTATGATGAGCCTTCTACTCATTTCTGCTTTAGTTTTCTGCTCGTTTTTTGTTTTAGGCTCTAATATTAGGTGGCAACAGTTTGAAAAATGAAACGGACATTCGGAGTCATTCGATGCAAAATCGCAAAACGAAAACAATAGTCCCTCAGGGACAAAGTCCCTTTGGACTAATAATAATAATGCATTTAATGTTTGGAAATACTATTTTTATTTCATATTTGTAAAACAAAATTTTTTATTAACAAACTCTCCTAGTTGAAAGCGATCAGTGGCAACACTTTGAAATAAAGCAGATTGCATAAATATAAATAATAATGCAGCTCCAGGGTGTGCGACTGTTGCCAGTCGGAAAAAAAATGATTGCGAAAATTAGCATTTTAGGAGTTTTTAATTATATCTCGGCTGATTAAAGTCGTTCGAGGATAAGAATGGTCGAAATGGCTTCCTACGAATTTTTGGAATCCGGGGGGGGGTACCTCTCTCGAAACTCCCCGCCTTCCCGGAGGAAATAGTGCCACAAACAAACAAAAAAGCAAGCAGACAGGTGCGCAGATAGTTTTTTAAATAAAAATTTATCAGTAATAGACAAAAAAATTCACAAACATCTTGGGACACTCAGAAGAAACTACCAAAAACACCGGAAATGTTTAATTCAGAAAAGATATAGGACTGACCATTCATCCATTTGCTTTTATTCAAAAGTGGAATATTTAATAATTGAGTGAACTAATCTTTATTTTATAACTTCCGCACTAAAATTATTGCATTCTTGTTATATATATACTAGAACGCCCGGCAGTCATACGAAATGACCGCTGTTCTAGATATTATAAATTGTAATTAAAATGATTTATGCAAAGGTGTCTGCTAATTTAAACTGAATTACCCAGGGCACGCGGCGAGGACGCCCCTTTGCTTACTGCCCCACAAGGTTTCCCCCTTCTGCTTGCTTAATTGCTTAAAGTAGAGTGCAATGAAGGAAATCACTGGCGGTACATTTCTTAAGAGCCACCGCTAGCTCAATCAATAAAGGTGATTTAAATAATGAAATGTTAATTCACATATCAAAGATCTCTTTGTACACAACATTTCTTGTGTAGATGTTTCCATCATTTTAAAGCTCGCCTTGCAAAGGACCATCCATTATTTTTAATTTTACGTCCGTTCTTTCACGAACTCTTGAACAGGCAACATAAAGTTGACCGTGTTCAAATGCAGGCTCAGGTAAAAAATGCCAATACGCTTAAGCGTTTGGCCCTGAGACTTATGGAGGGTCATAGCAAAGGCAAGTTTTACAGGAAATTGTCTACGTCTCAATTGAAACGGCAACCCTGTGGGGTGGGGTGAAGTAACGTTATCTCCTCCGAAACGGCTGGCTCCCGGGCTTAGCGAAGCACACCGTTGGATTCCGCAGGTCCGAGGCACGCCATTTTGACCAACCATTCGTGTCTTCTTGGGACTTTAATTAGCCTAGATATTAATTAAAAACTAATTTTCCCCTTCGTTTTCTCTACATTCTCCACTTTCTTTCTTGGGTTTTCCTATTAGAGGGGATTGACTACGTGCCAAATTCTTTGTTCTCGAATATCTACGGAACGGCGCCGAATTGAAATCCGAGACGCGTATCTTCGGATTCCAAAAAATTCTCCGAATCCATCGATACCGTTCTCATCTTCGTACGACTTTAATCGGCCGATGTATTAATTAAAAACTGCGGAAACATTAATTTCCGCTCTCAGCTCTCATTTTTCCGAGTGGCAACAATAAACCTTTAAATTTGGCTTTTGATGAAAGGCTGTGTTGCCCAATTTTTACCTTAAATTCGCTCCGAACATATTTACCCCAATTCAAATCCCGAGACTGGGAAATTATTTACATCACTTAAAGGCAATTACATGGAGCAACTTCTAGCAACTACACGTGATCCTTTAAAGATAAATGTTTAGTGTAATTGCACTAAGCGAATTCGAGATTATTTCTGAGGTCTAATTTTTATGCTGATTCTTCAACTTCTTTTTAAAAATATTATTATATTTTGAATGATCCATTTTAATATCAATAAAACCTAAACAGTCTTGCTGTACTCATGGAAATTCATACTAGAGCACCTTAACCATAATGCTTTCCAAATGATACCAAATTCTCCAGAGTTAGTTCATTTTTTTTTCATCAGATGAACCTCACTAGTGGCCGAGTATTTAAGACTTCTGAATACTGGTAGTTTGACATGGTTACAAGTCCAGGCAAAGGACTAGCTGCATGGATGGCTTACATGTGTAACGCGAATACGAGTCAATTTACGTTAAAAAGTCCTCCAAGATGGCATCGCTCCTCTTAAGCGGATAGCGCTTATGTGTTTTGCCTTATTCAAATAACGTATCCTAACCTAGCTTCATCGGATAATAAAGCAACCATCTGAACAAAAACATTTTATACTTACATTCATAATAAAGATGCTGTAAACTTACTTGCATTAATTATTTTGTAAATAACATCCGCAGTTGTTTATTATTTTTTTTAAAGAAATTGTTTTTGGTCAATCGACTGTGGCTTCTGGCTGATATAACAATTATTCTGTCTCCTTCAGAAGAGCTTGACTGAATAAATCAAAATACCTTTCACTAAATTCAGAAGAAAGTTCTATAGCACTTAGATGTAGATTTCTTTAAAAAATTGTTTATGGAAAAGTCGCTGGTCTTGCAAAGTAAGTTTGATGGATGACAGCTTTCTTTCGCTTATTTAGAAGCTCCAGCCAAAACAGAAATCAGAAGAAAGTTGCAGATTCAAATTTTTAGCAATCTCCCTTACAGATTTATTATTTTTAAAGTGAAAAACAACTGTTTTCTAAATTTATTTAACTTTTCTTTATGATGCTGTGCCACAATGTCATAGAATGCACTTAATAACTAAATTGGGATTAATTTGAATAATAAATTTTCAAACAAAACGTCAAATGATTTTTAAAATCTTGTTATAATTTGAAAATATAAATAGACAAAGGTTTTAGCTACAGGCCTAATTTCTCTGGTAAAAAATGGTGTCGTAAATCTTTTGGTGATTAATTTTTACTTTTTTAAATTCTTAAACTATTATTTCATATATTACAAATTTCATGAATAATTTTTTAAAGAATAGATTGCAAATATTATTTAAAAATTTAATTGAGTCTGTATGTTCCACTATTTTAATTGCATAAACCGAGGTATCCCAACACCTTTTGGAGATCAGTGAATATTGTAATCATCAGTTTATTCCCTGCATTTTTCTTTTCATTCTTCTCTCTTTTCGTTTTTCGGTGTGTGTGTGTCTGCGTGTCTGTATAGCAGAAACAAAATTTTTTCTTATTTATATCTATAATAAAACCCAGTTTTAATAAACTTAAACAAAATAAGTTTAAATAAGTTTTGATAAATTAAACACATTTATTTATATAAATTATTAATTGAGAAATGGTGGATGTTTTCATTTCAAAAGCAAAGAAAAATATTTGTATGATTTCATTGTTTATATTTTAGAGAATTTCACTTTGTAGATTTATCTCTGCAAATCTTTTGCATTCATTCATATGTAAAAGTATAGATTTCTCATTGCGAAAATTATTCTATTTCAAATTGTTAATGAACCCAGACATTTCAGGTTGCAATGATACCAATTCATGATACTTTAGGATCGGATTAGAATTTCTAAGAACTTATTTGCTTTTATAAAAGAGGTGGAAAATTTCGTGATTTGAGCTAATATATAGGAATAGAAAAATGGATGCTATTCAGACTTCTTCTCACGTTTCAACGATAGTGTATTTATAAATCTTTACTTCATTTATATGATCTTCAGAATTCTTTTATGGTTGATTCTTTCCTTTTGGGACGTAATAGTGGGAATTTTCATTTTGTGGAATTCCTTCATTCAATTTTCGTATCTCATAAAATTCCGTGTTTTTTCAAAGAATATCAGTTATCAGTGTAAATCAAAATTCTTTTATAGAAGGTAAAAGCTTAAAAAGAAATCACGATGCGTGCATGAAGAAATTATTAGCTTTTCTTTCATTTTTCATTGAAGATCAACACAAGACAAACTCGTCTATCATTTCTAAAGCTGAAATAACATTAAACGATGAAAACACTATCTAGCCAAAGCATTATAAAAGTGGGGCCTGCTTTACAGGTGAAAGAAATTTGTGACTGTTGGAAGATTTAGCAATATTCAGCAAAAATAGACATTCATATTTATTCGGAATATTTTATTCTATGTGAAAAATAAAATTCTAACTTTCAGTTTATAAATTCATTTGAAGCTATGATTTCGGCGAATTGCTTGTTGAATTGAATATGGGAAAACACATGAGGTCTTTCTAAGATAAGGAATGCTTTTGCAGGAGACTTCAACGGCAAACACTGATTCGTATTCAAGTTGCACTTCAGAAAATCGTGAAAAGGCTCATAGAACCACACATTTCTTCGTGTTTGACACCAGGTTGAATAATAAGCTTCTAGTGGATTTATCCACTCCGTCACTGGTGGGAATTTAGCTGATTGAGAGACACATTAAAATCAGTATCTTTATGTTACAAAATAGCTAAAAGAGTAATTAAACTATGGATGGCGAAGGAAAAATGAAAATAACAAATTTGCAATTATGATATTTCATTTTATCTTATAATAACAGAAAAGATTTCAATTGATTCCTGGTCTACAGGTATGTAAATACGCCTGCGTAAAAACACAAATACATGCATTTATAACATAGACGCGTAAAAACATAGATACATGAATCTATAACATAGACGTGTAAAAACATAGATGCATGCATCTATAACATAGACGCGTAAAAACATAGATACATGAATCTATAACATAGACGTGCAAAAACATAGATACATGCATCTATAACATAGACGCGTAAATACATAGATGCATCATCTCGAACTTGCAAATTCGAGAATTTTCCGTCAGTCATAGGAAACAAAATCTTTTGTAACATTTTTTAACATTTACTAACAGTTAGCCCTTTAGGTTTTATTATTTTTTTTCTTATGCCTTGTTTCCTCACATGCGACATGCGACGGGGGACGTGGGCACCATCCCTTTACCGTCGGTTAATTGGTGTAGCCCCACGTCCACCAATATCTAGAGTTGAAATCTCTAGTCTCTAGTCTTTCAAAAGAGCAATTACATGGCCATACAAGGGCTGTTAATATTTAGTATTACATTCTTGTTTGCTGGTTAACATATTCTATGGATAACGTGATTTACAGAGTTACATACTGACTTTGTCTCTCATTTTCGGCATACAATGCATATGCATTACCTGAATTACATTAATCTTACATTGCGTTGGATTACTTTTGTGTACAGTTACAGTTTTTAGCTGTACATTTCAATAAATATACCTACATTACTTGTAGATTGCATATAAATACAGTTTGCATGTACAGTTACATATGCCAATATTACATGTGCCTTGCGTTACATTATTTTTATATACATACATAGTCAGGCACGCCTGCTTCACATATTACTTAATTTTACCTACACTGCTTAACCTTAGGTTACATATACTTGCAGTTGCATATAGATACATGCAGATACATTCTGATTAATTTTTTAGATACAAATATTTACAAACATAATAGTCTTACAGGTTACTTACATTACATGTTATTTGGGTACTTATTGCATAATTTTCCAGTACATGAAATAGACATTCCAATACATACATTGCTTTGCGTTAGACATCCTATATCCCTTATTCATAATACAAAACATATATGTTACCCATGCATTTTATTAGACATTTCTGCATTTATATTGCATTACTTTAAATTGCATAACTTACTTATACATAGCTTACTGATACACAAAAATATTTACATATATTACACTCCCTTACATTACTTTGCTTACAGATATATGCACTTTCATACATTCGTTATGCCTACATTATATATCGGTTCATTATATATGGTCTTACGGTATAATTTGCCGAAATTTATTTACACAGTACATGCACATTGTTAAATGCAACTGACTTTCCAGGTATGAATACAGGCAGTCTTTATACTGTGAGTTTCTAGTCTACATTATAGTTTCTTACAATTCACTTGAATGACAGTTTTCCTACATTGCAATACATGTCCTTTTTAAAATGCTTAAGTTGTTTTTACATGCTGGGTTGTTCTATGGCTGACACAAGTCTGTATCTAAGTCGGACAGTCTGTCCATCAACTGTACCAGCTTTTTAATAAAGTGCCGCTGTTTTATCATATATTTACAGAACGGCTGGCGATTTGTTTCAGGGAGATTGATATGCAGTCCTTCTGTTAATGGGCATGACGTTAGATAGTGCTCTGGTGAGCCTGAGTCGCCGCATGCACATTGACTTGTGTGACTTATGCCACGCTTGAAGAAATATTCCGGGTAGGGCCCATGCCCGGAAATGAACCTTACCAACTGTGCGTTCGCTACATTTCGGCTAGTGTCCACATAGCCGATGAAGTAGTGGGTCCTTCTCCCTGTGGTGCTTTGGTCCCATTCGTTCTGCCACATGCCAGTAGCCCTTAGGCGTAGTGTCTTCTTTAAATACGAATGCGGCCATGGGATGATAATTGGTGCATCAGGCGGGTCAGTTGTTGCCTCTTTGGCGAGTTGGTCGGCAAGTTCATTGCCATAGTGGCCAACATGAGCCTTTATCCACTCTAATTTTGTGCGGTACTGGGGGTTACTTCTAAGATCTCTCTGGATTCCCTGTATAATCTCCGAGGGATGATCTGCATTCCAAATGGCATATAACGATGATAAGCTGTCCGTTTTAATGGTGACATGGCTATGCTGGTGCGAGTGCAGGTAGCGAATCGCTTGTGCAATTGCCACTGCTTCGCTTTGAAAGACACTGTTATGTTGTCTTAACTGTCCCTTCCATTTCTCGATTGCGTTGTCTTGTTTCGTGGCGACATAGGCGCATCCCACTCTTTCGTCCAATCTAGACCCGTCTGTATAGATGGTCATTTCCCTTGAGTGATGAGTTGCAGTGGGATTAATTGAGATAAGTATCCCTTTGCCTTTCTCTGCCGGGTGGACGTCAAGAGGGCAGAAGTTTGTTTCGTACTCATCCGGGTAGTATGTTTCATCATCAAAAGTAACTGCCTTCTTAAGTTGCAAAATGTGTTGGCGTGCTGCCTCCTCCTCAACCCGGATGTGCAGGGGAAGGAGACCAGCAAGTACGTTAATGGCATCGGTGGAGGTGGTGCGGTAGGCCCGTGTGATTCCCAATGCGAATGGTCGTTGTATGCTGTTAAGATGTCTGACCTTCCTTCCTTGCATTGGGTAGGCCCATACTGCGGCAGCATACGTCACTATCTTCTCGATGACTGTCGTGTACAATACCTTTTGAATATGGGGGTTAAGCCCCCATTTGTGACCATAAAAGAGTTTCATTTGTTTGGCTATGGCTGCCGTCCGGAGTTTGAGATCCTGCACGTGAGGGATCCAGGTCATCTTATGATCAAAAGTGACCCCTAAATATCTTAGCTGGTCCACTATCTGCAGGCGTTGGTTGTTAATCTTTATGGTGGGGCGTCTTACTAAGGATCCTCCTTTTTTCGGAATTAAAAGGACTTTTGACTTATGTTCTGCAATTGTGAGCTTAAGTTTGGTACACTGGTCATGAAAGATCGCGCAAACTTCATTGCAATTTTTCTGTAATTTTTCTCGCGTGGTACCCTTTACGATAAGCGCCGCGTCATCCGCGTATGCAATGATTTTAGTGTGCGCCGGCCACGTCGCTGTCAGTACTTCATTGAACGTTAAGTTCCATAAATGCGGCCCGGCGCACGATCCTTGCGGACATCCTCTAGTTTGCACCTTTTCGATAATGCCTGCATTATGCACCGCTAATAGCTTCCGATCCTGCAGGTAGTTGCTTATTATACTATATATGTTACTTGGGCAATTGGCCCTTCGTAATGCCTGCTTGATAGCCGGCCACCACAGCGTATCGAAAGCATTCTTTAGGTCTATGCTGACCATAGCCGTGTGGTGGCCGCTGTGTCTATTTTCCAGAATTGCCTCCTTTATATTATGGAGGGCATGCACCGTCGATGAACCAGTCCTGAAGCCATATTGGCTGCTGCTGAGATAACCGTTGAGATGCAAGTGGTGGCGCAGTCTGTTGATGATTAGCTTCTTCCAACACCTTCCCCATCGCCGACAAAAGGCAGATGGGTCTGAATGATGAGGCTTCTGAAGGATCTCTGTTTTTCTTGAGGAATAATACCACTTGCCCTATTTTATATGGTGTTGGAAAAAGTCCTACTGACAGAAGCTTATTGAAATAGCTTACGAAGAATGTAGGGTATGCCTTTATGGTAGCTTTTACGATTGTGTAGTCCATGCCGTCTGTCCCGGGGGCTTTCTTTCGCGGCAGACTTGCCAGCACTCTCTGCAGTTCTTGAAGCGTGAATTCCGGATCTGCTTCTGTGTCTACACTATTTGTATCTGCTCGAAGGGCAGCTTGTTCGGCGGTGTCTTGCTCTGCATCGTCCTGACTGAACACAGTATTTAAAACTACATTCAAAGTGTCAGTCGTGTAGCTTTGGCTGCTATCAGTCCCGATCGCTCTCCCCAATAGTCAAAAATAGTATCATCGCAACTATTGACTCTCCATTTACGTGCATTGTGTAAAGCAAGGAGCTACAACTTCCCTAGAAGGGCACTGCCGTTCGATAGGTCCGAGCTACCACCCGTGAACTTTGACCTTCGCAGAGCAGCAGTGCAACCTTCCCCGCCTCCCCCCTGCAAAGGGAACTTATGGAGCTGCAATAAGGAGAGATAACAAATGGAAGTGAGTGTTATTTTTCAAAGTCATATCTCCGCTGCTAATTACTTTAGCACCTCCAAGCTAATTTTCCCATAAAACAGCATATCGAGTGGAACCAAAGTTTCTAAAATTGAAGAAATTCGGACTGTTAGTTCGAAAACTCCAAGTCCTAGCTTTATATACAGTTTCGTTCGAACTTTTTACACACAGCGAAGGACACCACCAACTCAAAATTCAAATTTGACGAAATAGTAAGTTAATTGGTTTTAGTGATTTAAGCAAATTTTTCAATGACAAGCAATTATTTTTCAACGCTTCTAAATTTACGTTTACATCTGTGCGGGAAGAGAGTGTTCTAGTCTGAATTTTGCAAGTCGCGATCTATACATACAACTAATAAACTTCAGTTAAATTAGTGACTACATCTGTGTGTACAACGTTATAGAGTGAATTTAGGCAAGGCCATCCTGTGTTCCGCTACTAGATAATACCCAGTCAATTCGGGTAATTACATTAGTGTCTGTGTTTTCAGTGTTAACATTTGTATCTGCGTGTTTCATCTGTGGATTCTTATGAAGAGAAGAATAGATGTATATTATCATAAGGTAGGATTTTAAAATTGTTTATTGCATTGGAGCATTTTTTGAGTTTTCATCTTGCATGCGACAGTTTACTATCTCTCTGCTAAAATCTACAGTGTCGCAAAATTTGCAATAAACTCCGCAACGTACGTTCAGTGGTCTCGTCCGTCTGTATATTGTACCTTTATTATTCTACATTACATAGTTCATTTTAATTCTCAAACATTGTGCTTATCGAAATATTATAATTTTAATTATTTGTATTCTTTGAATATTCCTAGTATAATGTTGCACCCTTATCATAATTTAAACATATTAAATTCTCAAATATTGTGCTTATCGGATCATCGTAATTTTAATTTCAGTGTTATTTGAATATGCCTAGTATACGCTGTAGCAACCATCATAATTTAAACATTTCAATTCTCAAACATTGTGCCTATCGGATATTATAATTTTAATTTCTGTATTATTTGAATATTCCTAGCATATGTTGCCCATCATAACTCGTGTTAATACTCGTGTAAACATACTCGTGTAAATAACACGAGTTGAGTACGTGTTGAGTGTAAATTGTGTATCTCAGTTCTCCGTAGTTTTCTCTCATTTCATTGTACTTTGTATAATTGAATTAATTCTTTGTTTTGATATTTTTTTGGTATTGGGTTATCTTATATGTAGCTGTTTAATAATTTATTAACGCTGTGCATTTCCCCTATGTTTTGTTCTGAGCTATTAGCTCATACTTATTATGCAATTTTTTTAATAGTGTTTATTGTGTTAAGATACTTCCAACTGTTTAATTCTAAGATTACCTGTATATGCTTATTTAAAGGGGCTGGCGGTCGAGGCTCTGTACCCTACTGAGAGGAGTCTCTCAGTGCGACGGTGCATATAATTCTGTGCAATTACCATCCTAGTGCTGAGTTATACCTACTTGTATTATACTACTTGCTGAGTTAAACCTACTTGTATTGTTTATGCAAGATAATTGCTAGTCACTAGAATGAGCTCGCAAACTCCAAAATCCCAAGCAAACTCAGATGGTGCTATGATTAATGTGAACGCTTCCCCTCCAGCTGAGACGCGTACCACTACTATCAATCAATCACCAGCTTCCAGAATCGAGACCATCAATCATCTTAGCGACCAGCTACATTCATTTTTAATGCAAACAAGAGACAGCCGCAAATTCAGCGTGAGCGAGAAAAAAAACTGCTTGGTTCATTAATTACCTCTATCCGCAATACTTTTTGCAGAACAAGAAGTGTACTGTGCAAGTCTGCAAGGAAAAATTCAGCTGCTGCAACAGCAACTCAGCGTGAATGATAATCGTTCTTTAACAGTTCCGGCCACACCAGAAGACCTTCCAGAACAGACGGAAACAGAAGAAACCCCATTTACCGAAGTCAAAAAGAGAAAGAGAAAAAGCACGAACTGTGCGCAACTTAACAAACAGTTATCAGAGCACGTCCTCCTATTAAAAGAAAACAAAAGAAAAACAAAACAAAAAAAAAAGAAACAGACAGAACTCCAGAGCAAGTCAGAACACAGTTGACTACTGAACTTAGCGCCAAGGAACTGGGCATTACTGTTGAAGAAGTGCAGCCCACACACTCTATCGAACTTTTAATTAGATGCAGCTACACAAAAAATATAGAAACACTCAGGAAAGTGATTGAGGAAAAGCCGTCACTCTCAGCATCAGTCAAGAAGTACACAATAATCGTCTTTGGTACCCCTCACATCCGCAGCAGCAGACGACATACGGGAAGTTTTTGCGAGTCTGGTGCTCTCAGCAAGTGAAGAACAAATACATCCCATAAACCCTATTAGCACAACTAACCGGCATCAGTTGGATCGTCTACCTACAACAGAATCTGTACGAGGATATTGAGGATATTGAGGATATAGGACCTTAGAGAATTCTCACAGGATTTAGCTCTTGTACTTTCAGAAAATACTTTCAAGTCGCAAGGTGTTTTAATTGTCAGCGGCTAGGAACACTTGAGTCATTCTTGTAAAGCAGCGTTGACCTGCGTAAACTGTGGACAAGCTCATAGCCAGGATAACTGCAAAGCAAAGACTCCACACTGCGTCAATTGCGCAACTCACAATAAATCCAAAAGCACTAGCTTCGACACCACACACCCGTCTAGTGCAAGACAATGTCAAGCCTACAAGGCAGAACTGTTCAGAATGAAATCAACGGCGCAGTGGTAGATGAACAGCAGGCTATTGCATATCCAAGTACAGTACATGGTTTTGCAGTTCTTCAAAGCAACTTGCAACGCAGCCAAGCCGCAACTGTCCATGCAGCCCAGGTTATTCTAGAAAACAATGTAGATCTAGCCGCACTACAAGAGTTTCATTCCATTAACAACAGGATCACAGGATTCAGCAACTTCAAAACTTACCATTCAGTAGGCAATCAAGCAGCCATCGCCTACAACGGTCCACTCACGCCCCTGCTAATGCATAAAGGAGATTACACAGTTACTGTACAACTGGAAGGGCCTTATGGTCAAATTGCCATCACCAGCGTGTATTTTCCTCCTTCGCACGACATTGTCACTGCACTCCAGGAGCTGGAACAAGTCATGATGATTCCGACTAGGAATAAGATTATCGCTGGGGACTTTAACGCTGCTAGCCCTCTATGGGGTGCGCCAGAGGAAAACAGGCGTGTTTGCCCTGTCCTTGACTTCATCACTTCTTATAACCTTGCAGTCGTCAACCCCACCGACAGCCCTCCTACATACTGGACTACCAGGGCTCAGGGGTGGCCTGATATCACTTTAGCCACCACTGGTATTCTTAATAATATTCACAATTGGAAGGTTAGCGAAACTCCCCTCGTTCAGTGACCATCGCTACATTGAGTTCAGAATAGATTCGGAGCACCAATTTATAACAAAGAACAGATGGAAAACGAAGTATATAAACCTGAACAAATTTAAAGATGCACTTTCAACCCATATTGAAAGTCTCGTGGCACAATGTAACAATTGCAACAGTAGTAAAGACATCGACGCCATGCATGAAGATCTTATGCAAACACTGCTCTCAGTGTGCGAAAAAGTCTTGAAAAGGAAACATTACACAGCCCCGAAATGCACTCCTTGGTGGAGCACCACGCTGACTGCTGAACGCAGCAAAGTCCGTGCCCTAAGGCGCAAAATGCAAGCATGCAAGGATCCCTCAGAAAGAGAGACACACTCGCTAATTTTTCGAAAGCACAGAGCTGCTTACAAAAGACAGATTGCAAAAAAGCGAAGTTTTCATCCTGGAAAGAGTACTGTACCAACACTGCGAATAAGTTCGGAACTGTCTTCCGTATTGCACATGACAAGATGTTTACACCTACTAATCTTACTGCCATAATAAGCCACGGAGCAGCAACTAGCACAGAAGTAGTTGCGCACATTCTGGACAATATCTTTAGACCTGATAACGCAGACACAGATAAACCCGCACAAAGAAATATCAGAGCCAGCGTTGAGCAATATTACAATACCAAGAAAACAGATTTTGAACCACTGCCTAACGCCAAAGAAATAAGCGACATTGTTAAAGCGTTAAACACCAATAAAGCACCAGGTCCTGATGGGATAGATAATGGCATTCTG